TGCATACATCGTGCGTGAAATGGCAGCACGAAACTTACACGGACTCCATCTTCTGATCGTAGTAACGCGCATCGAACTGTGCGGTGTCCGCCGGAATAGCCGCCATGATTGCTGCACCCAAGTACACCACGCACACAATCACCATGAAAGTGTCAGTCACATAACGACTGTACATTTTTTTCCCCTTCTTGAGCTCACAGGGCAGTGAGCTTGGTGCTATGTCCTTTGTGAGCTTGGTGCTATGTGAGTCGTCCCTCGTACATCACTACTGAGAGCGACAGAATCTGAGCGAATCTGGTCGGGGTAACGACCGGGTGCATTTAGAAGAAAAGCGGAAGACCACGAAGCTCCCCGCAAACAGACTAGGGGGATTGGTAATCCCAGCAAGCAGATCAACAGCAGAAAAACAGCGTTTCCTAAGAAAAGTGCAAAAGTGTCAGTCACATAGACCACGAAGCTCCCCGCAAACAGACTACCTTCTTCCCCCGAGTACAACGTACGATCGTTATAGCTGTATTTGAGGCATCTTTCAGTCTAGATACAGCTATAATGACCGAACGTTGTATTCGGGGGAAGAAGGTAGGGGGATTGGAAATCCCAGCAAACAGATCAACAGCAGAAAAACAGCGTTTCCTAAGAAAAGTGCAGAGTTCAAAAGGCTGCAACTATCTGGGTCTTTGGGACAAAGCACAAGAAAAAGAACGCCCCTCCCGTGGAACACCACAAATAGCAGGTGAACAAACTCACGCTCGAAAGGACAAAAAAAGTTGGTTGCTATTCCCTCCTGATTTCTCGCAAACGAAGATGCAGCGTGTCATCTAGTGTTGGCATTAAGAGTACAAGCTCTCGACATGAGTGATGAACCACCCGCTAGCATCTCGATATCGTGGCACTGGTATATCTTTCTGAGATTTCATCTTCTTGACGCTGAAGTCCGTATCGCGTTCACAGTCCGTATATCTTTCTGAGATGTTATGTTCTTGACGATAATGTCGGTATCGTGTTCACTGGTCGAATGTGAAAGCTACCCTGTCTGTCTGGCTTCGAGTACAATGGTACGTGAGTGTTACTATCAATTAAGTGAATCTTAAGTTCGTGGGTTCAGATTTGTGGAGAACGGTTATGGTGTACGTGATCAGCCAACGCTCTCTCTCTCTCTCTCTCTCTCTCTCTCTCTCTCTCTCTCTCTCTCTCTCTCTCTCTCTCTCTCTCTCTCTCTCTCTGTCTGTGTCTGTCTCTGTGTGTGTGTGAGCGATACTGTCTGGCTCTGAGTACGATTGTACGTGAGAGTTACTTTCAGTCTTTGAGTACAACGAGTCCCGAGTAATTGTTCAACCTACTTGGGTTTTGTAGGTTCAGAATTGTAGAAAACGGTTTTGGTGTATGTGATCAGCCAGGGTTCTCTCTCTCTCTCTCTCTCTCTCTCTCTCTCTCTCTCTCTCTCTCTCTCTCTCTCTCTCTCTCTCTCTCTCTCTGTGTGTGTGTGTGTGTGTGAGCGATTCTGACTGGCTTTGAGTACGATCGTACATGAGAGTTACTTGTTCAACCTACTTAGGTTTTGTAGTTTCAGAATTGTGGAGAACGGTTTTGGTGTAAGTGATCAGCCAGCGTTCTCTCTCTCTCTCTCTCTCTCTCTC